TTTGCACCCTGGTGGTAAGTGCTCTGATATCATCCCAAGCACCTGTGGTAAACTGAAATAATTAATTGAGGTCATCTCAGTGATTCACTCTCTAAAAATCAGATTCTAGTCCTTTCTTGATTAAAACATATATCTTTTCTTCTTTGATGGGCTTTGATGGGTTTCTTCTTATGTGTTACTCTTCCAGTTCCTAGCCTCTTTTTCAATTCCCACACAAGCAGGATCATTCTGGGACATGAAGGTTGGTGGTGTTTTGCATTTTGAATCACCACTGCTCTCCCACCTGTGCAAAGCATTATTGCTATTCCACCAGCTACATTTGGCCTTAGAGAAATTTTCTGCTGAGGCTTGCAGAAATCTGAGGCAAGATTTCAAAGACAAATTCATCACACGTGTATTTTATGTCCGTCTTCTGGTGTGCATGCTTCCCAAGGTCAGGGGAGGACCTGTTCTGCTACAGACTCAGGCAGAACATAATGACACCAGTGGAATGATTTCTTCTGATGTGGATGGGTGCTGTGTCAGGTTCCCTAGCTATCTGTAGAGACATCTTACCTTTCTTCTCAGGCAGATGGTGGCTTCAACACTACTATTTTTGAAATATCAAGGAAATTTACTTCCACACAATTTCCAAAGTTTTACACTTATTCCTCCGGAATAAACTCATGACTGACTCTTTCTAGTCCCAGTTCAAACTGTTGAGCCTTCCATAATCCATTAGTTTTCTCTTTTCTTGTCATTGTAATGGCATTTACTTTATTTTTTTATTTCCAGTTCATTATGTATTTATTGTTTAGAAGATCACACTTTAATCTTTCCTTTCCCTCATTTCCAGCAGTTCAGTCATGCTTATCTGTTACAAGCTTGATTTAATTTCTTAGCAGGGGCTATAGGGAAATTGAGGAGATGCCCTTCATTAGTCTCTTGTAATTATGTTTCTAACTCTGCTTTCTGAAATAGCTTTTAGATGCCTTCAGTTCTGGGGCTGTTTTGACTCTGATCAGTGTCTCATTATCTGACATTTTTGGAATACTGCTGAAACAGATAAACTAGCCCAACTTGGAGACTACTGCAATGTGTGTCTGGTAATTTTAAGTAGAAAAAGGTGTGAGGAAATGAATCCAGTCGTGCACTCAGCACTGTATTTACTTTCTTTGAACTTTGCAATATTACTGCTAGGGGATAATAAACCCATCCAGATTCCATCAGTTATAATAACAATGCTAATCCATTGCAGCCATCATAAAGACACTTCGGCCTTGATTGCATAGGCAGAGCCAAAGTATAAATTTGCTAATATCTGGAACAGCTAATATGCCCTTTGAAGCAACTGATTATTTTTACACGTATCTGCAGTCTACCAAACTATCAATCCTTTCTGTCCCTTTCTTTTCTGTATCTTCCCTTTGAACATGACCCTTAGAAAAGGGTGCCCCCTTAATGATCAAATGCAATTTAGTTAGGAAAGTGCATCAAGGAGGACATTCCTAAAAACTACGTGGCTACACAGGGAGACACCAATGAGAATGCAAGTTCATGGCTATCCAGATGAATTCTTTAACTGTAGAAAAGGAATGAGAAAATAATCCTTAAAAGAGAGAACACCTGACCTCTTGAACTTCCTTCTCCTGGACTGACGGCTAGTAATCTTGGTCAATGCCATGAGAGTCCTCAGAACTGCATGAAAACGCCATCCCTCAAGTCTCCATTTAGCCATGAGACAGATTGTATCACTACAAGATTTTCCGCCCTCAAATGAATGGTCTTCACTCTCCAGACCTATACAATCTGATGTGACCCCAAAAGAAAGGGAGAAGGCAACAGGTCTTCAGCCTTCAGATTTCTCCTGAGCACTGATCAGGATTGCCATTTATTTATCTCCCTTTGTGACACTTCCTGTAATGGCAAATCTCCTACCATGAGGAACTGGATCGAGAACTTTATTATATTTTGCCTGAAGGTTAATTCATCAGATTATAGAAAGGTAGTACCTCCTTAGTCTACTGACACCGGGCTTTGTACAAAATGCAGCTCCATGAGCTAGCCTGAGTGTTAATGGCTGGCAGTATTCAATAAACGCACAGTACAGCACTGAGATAGCGTCTGCTAGAATTTTCAGAGATTTTATCTTTGCTATTGCTGCAGCAGTAAATGAGTAGCATAGTTTGACTCATTTTTATTCCTTTACCTGATCTGATCCCAACTCTCTGACCTCAAGAAATTGTGAGTGAAAGAGTGATTTAGGTATCTCCCAGTCTTTTCCTTGGAAATCATTCCATAGTGTATCTGATCTATTATTCACTACATCTTTGAGATGTATCTGAGACTCGTCTCTGCCATGCACTCAGAGCACTCCAACCTGTAGGCTGTAAATTCAGTCGTGGATATCTTTATTTCATTCCAATTCAGGGAGCACTTAATTAATTATACAAAACTGTGCAACTCTGGCAGATTAAGCCCTCTGCAAAGATTACCTATAGCCCTCTGAAAGCACTTTGCTGGATGGCAGGGAATGCAGTTTAAACCTTAGCTTCAGAGGAAAATTTCTCACACTTCAAAGAGATGTTTTAACTAATATGCAGCATGAGCAAAGACAAAGGGCCTGATACAACTTTACACTACATCCTGATTAAACTACGCAGAAAAAAAGGACTGAAGTGTTTACAGTCTGAATTCTAAATATGGGAGACTTACGCAGATATTAAATGGCAATGATGTTCCCTGAGTTATTGACTACACCAGCTAGATACTGGCAGTTCCCCATTCAGATTACTGGCTTTTATGTTTCTCTTATGCACTTCCAGCCTACATATCCTAAGAACCTAGTCAGCTTTCATAAAAGTAGAAGTAAAAGTAAAAAAAAGTAAAAAAAAAAAAGTAAAAGACCTACGTCTTTTAGGAAGCACCAAGTGACTGAAAATAAGGGATTTAAAATGGTAGTGTTACAGTTAGGTTAAGTCTATTCACTGAGGTGGAAATACTGTTTTGCAACAAAACATAGATGACATTAGTGAACTAAGAGGATATTAAGTCAGAGAGACCTTCATGGTTACACAGGTGGCAAGGTGAAGTCAATCCTTTCTGCTCAGTTCTGTTTTATCATTAGCTTGGCTTCTCCACTGTACTCTTCCAGATAGCCATTTTGCCCACTTGCTCCGTTTTATCTATTCTGTAGACTGAGAGCTTCTGAAAATACTATTTGCCTTTGTTATATATAGATAGCAATGACCGTTTAGTATGATTTGGACTATTCACTCTACAGAAAACTCTGACCATGGCAGCTTGAAGTGAATGGCAACTGATTTACTTCATCGCTCAGATTTACAACCCTCGCCGAGATCCATATTGCCCTACGTAGACTGTGATCAAAATCTGACTCAGTTTCACAGTAGTTTACAGTTTCTGTACTATGCATACTATTAGCTATACAATCAGTACATAGTCCAGCACAGCGAATACCTTGTCCTTAACTGGATTTTATTAATAGTAGATTATTTTTCCTCTCCACTACTAAGGTCTCAAGATGAAACACTATCCCTAATACATTATTATGAATTATTATTATATGTTTCTGTATTGATATTAAACAGTTCTTGGGATACCTGATTCAAAGGAAGGCTTCAGTATAAATTTTGGTGACAAGAAAGACCAGACAGGACCTTCTTCAAAAACTTCCCACCTCCTTTTTTTTTAACCCCCAAAATAGAGAAGACATAAAACCAGAAAAGGGAGAGGAAACTAGAACTTTCCATTTACAAAAATAAAATCATGGCATTTTGAAAACCAAGCTGGGGACAACATAAAGGGAAAAAAAGGTTTTACTCCTTTAAATAGAATTCAGCAGCACGTGTTGTGGATAGCAGCACATTCATTCAGCATGTCTAAGTGATAAACAGGAGTGGAGTTTTCCTTCTTTTTCAGATATCTGGAGACATGAATAGGCATTTCTGAACAACGAAACGTAGGAGCTTGTCTCAGTGTGGCAGAAAGTGATGGAAGATCACCGCTTGGTGATGGAACAGCCCATCCTGGCAGCCCTCTCTAAGCATGTGGAGGACAAGAAAGTAATTAGAAGTAGCCAGCATGGATTCACCAAAGGGAAATCATGCTAACCAACCTGATAGCCTTCTATGATGGCACAACTGGCTGGGTAGATGAGCAAGCTCAGGAAGCGCAGGCTGGATGAGTGGACAGTGAGGTGGATTGAGAACTGGCTGAATGGCAGGGCTCAGAGGGTTGTGATCAGTGGCACAGAGTCTAGTTGGAGGCCTGTAGCTAGCAGTGTCCCCCAGGGGTCAATACTGGGTATTATTTAACTTATTCATAAATATTTCATTCCCTTATATGTGAATAGTTTCCAAAAATAATTTATTTAGGTGGAAAAATTTATTAACTGCTCTAAGGAGATGTTCTATACCTGGATGTACATAGAGCTTCTTTAAGACAAGAAGGAGGATTATATTGTCAGCTTCACCAATGTTTTCTAATCAATCAGGAATGTCATATTAGAATCACTAAAGCATGTAGTTGAAAAAGCAAATAAAGCAGAAAGAAAGATTTGCCCTTTCATACTAGCAAAATAGAGACTTTTTATGAAAAGATTAAAATTTTCATTAATATTGAAATGCTAATAAAACAATTTTTCATTAGAAATATTTTATTTACTGAAAATCAGGGGATCTTTCATAACAACAATTCAATGACAATTTTGAAAACATGGTAATAAAGTCAATAAAATATGGATTAAACATTGCAAAAGATTTACTAGAAAGACAAAATGGGGTTATTTTGAATTCTCCCAAATGGAGATAACTTCAAAATGCTTTTCAGATTTATTTGCCTCTTTGTTTGTTTGTTTCCCTAACTCCAGCCTATAAACAAAGTGAAATAATTTATTACAATTGATTGTGTATGCTTCTTTTCCACAAAAGTAGGTCACGTTCAAAGTGAAATTCAAGTGCAAATATACTCTAAATACCCTTTTTCATAGAGGGGTTTACCTGCCACCAGGGGATCAAAAGCCAGTGTCGATCATCGCTGCTTGGGGCTGCACGCGCACTGGGTCAGAAGTCAGATGGTGTCTGCTCTGTTATGCCAAGTATTGCTCGCAGATCTTTCCTATATCTGCATTGCAACTGGATCTAGCTCTTGCTCAGATGGCTCACTCAAAGTATTAATCACCTATATGGATTTTCAGTAGAGAAAAATCTTTTTATTCTAAGTGTTTCTAGAAGAGCTTCTTATCACTGTGGAACTTTAACCCAGGGACCTTGCTCCTACAGGCTAGAAAAAAAACTATTTTGAAAAACAGACAAAGTCCAGAAATCTTCTCCTTATCTGACATCTTTAGCTGTCTAGCCAGTAGCAATGGAAAGAGAGATTGCATCATCCTGCTGTCAAATCCACTGTGTGAGTATCAGTCCCAGCTTTGCTGTGCACAGTAACATCACGGTCTACATTGTGCAAAGTGAGTTTAAACAAAATTGGTTTTTGGGCAAGTCTTTTCAGAGCCACTCTGAAGCACTGTGATTACCAGCACTGCTGCAGGCATTAGGAATGCTGATTCGTGTCCTTTGCCTGTTAGGTGCAGCACAGGAATATAAGATACTGAGATGTCCTCAGACAGGACTTGTCACCTGAAAATAAAGGTGCGGAACGACTCTGTGAAGTTGTGATATTGTATCCTGCAGTTGGTTCTAAATAAAAGAAAGGCCAAGATTTTGGACATCAGCTGGACATCAAAAAGCTCACAATTATTCTGTATACTAGAAAATAGATGAAACTATTGTCTGCCTTTTTCTCCAACAAGCAGTCACACATCCAGCAAGAATATAAACTCTACTAACTTCTTCCTGTACAAACTTTTTCAAAAATATATTACTGCATAGGTCTGATGCCTGCAAATGAGGGTTAATTTGCCAGTAAATAGTACATTCAGATCAAACTTGCAAAGTCTGCATCTCTGGCATCTGCACAATGCCTCACCGGAGTCTGCAAATTCATTCCAAGCACAAGGAGGCTCTGTGCATGGAGAGAGCCCTGCAGGCTGGAGATCCTCACCAGGACTTCCATCTGACTTGAAAAAGACATTAAAACGTGGTACTAAATTTTATTTTTTAGTAGCTTCTGTCACATGCATGGATATTACAGTTTTTAAAACTACGGTTTTCAAAATGTCTTTGGTAAAGCCCAATTGTCATTAGAATAAATAGAAGAATGTTGCAAAGTCGCATAGGGAACAATGCTAAAGTAAGTTTGGAGAGGTGTGGGCCCGAGTCTACCAGCATCTGTAGCTGTATTTTGTTGTACAGTGTTTTGAGAGAGCAATGAAAAATGTATATGACAAAACAGCTTCAAGATGAAGCAGTATACCGCAGTCATTACTTTTCTAACTATTGCATTCATTTTGGAATCTAAAAGAATTTCCAGTTGAGAAAATTAACAATCCTTCCATATACATGTGAACATCCTTCCATATACATTCTGCTAGGAAATAACCTTCCTCTAATTATTTAAAATGGTCTCCATACAGTATCGGAAGGCTAGGTACTGCACTGTATTAATAAGTTCTCACTTCCTCCATATCCAGTAAGAATGGAAAGCTTCTCCCCAAGTTTGAGTGGGCAATAGAAAGCTCCTCATAGATTCACTGAGTGGCACAAAACAGTCTAAGATCTGGCTGTGGCTAATATCAGGACAAGGTGTTGTAGGCTACTCTGTCATACTACACTGTTCAATAATGAAACCCATTAACCAGTACTGCTTGCTTTGGGGAACATGAGGAAAGAATTTTAATGTCCTCTTTAATATTTTGCATATTTATCAAACAAATAATTAAGCTATTTTGCAAATGTATTGTAATAATAATGATAATACAATAGGAGGATTCAGGTAATGAGTGTCATGCATTGCCAAGAGTGGTTTGACTTGGTGACATACAGTAAATTATGGATTAAGGCTCTAGAATCCTCCCAATGTAAAACCACTGACAGTTCTGAAATTTGTGTCCTAACAATGATCAAAAGGGAACAGTTGCCCTAAAACTCTCACTTCACAACTATTATTTTTCCTCTGTTTCTCAGAAAGTCATCTTAACGTTTTAGGTGTTAGCTGCAGTCTATAAGCTCCGCATAGTTCCTGTTTCTTTAGTGGAAGGCATGAACAGCCAGATCAGAACATTATTTGACTGTATACTTTCACCTTCATAGTTGTGTCTTATTTTGTGTCTCAGTCTTTCAGATTTTTGTCTCTGTTGACACATTTCGTTTGATCTTTCTTTGACCTGAAACCCTTCCGGAGCCACCTGGGAGTTACCATAACCATGAACCAGACAGAACGAAGGAGTGAAGGGATCTTCCCTGGAGTCATGCATAATCCAGTGACAAGTGCTGTGCTCCAGGGTCCTGTGCACTAGTGGTAATCCTTCATGGGATCCCTGTTTAAAGGGCTCAGCAGCCTAGAAGCAGCTTTTAAATTTGATGAATCGCAGACAAGGCTATTTAATGAATGTCAGGTACAAAAGATAGCAACAGAACTGAATAAGCTCAGGTGCTTCTAATTAAAATTGAGTTTGCTACAGCAAAGCTAGGATAGAGCCCCTGAACATCTCTCAGTGACTAGAAAAATGTTTGCCTGAATATAATTTAGCGGATGGGGGAGGAGAGAGTGACTCCACGCAAAGATAATTGATTAAAAGGCATTCGTAATAGACCATAGGGAACTGAATTCATGAACTATTGCCTGCAGTGTGTGTCAGTGAGCTGTTAACATAATTTTAAACAACAGCATCAAGAAGAGAGCATACAGAAAATTATAATATACATATATTAATGTATAATATAAAATATTCATAAACATACAGAAAACTAAAAACAGATAACATCTAATGATTCTTTGTTTAACCTCTCAATGACTAATTAATCTCATTAATATAGTCAACATTTGCTGATAGATACCAGAAATTAACTGCAGTTATTTCCTCTTCCATGTTTAGGAACAGCTTGAAATCATAGCTTTCAACACACAAAATATTGTTAATAGATATGCTTTTCCCTGTGGTTGTAAATGTAAATAGATATTTCTAAGATGCCTTCACGAAGAAGCTAAGAGCAGTAGTTGCCTGGAGGTACAGAAAAAGAACCTCGCTGAACAACAGGACAGATGCAGCAAGCTCAGTTTTCGTGTGGATTTATTTAAGAGGTCTGGAGCCAAAGATGCGACTTAGCTCTTACAGAAGCAGAGTGGTTTTCATAATTTCCTACTTCAATATATTTAACAGTGATTCTTTACTTGTTTTTCTTTACCTGCATGTCTTCATAATATAGTTGTGCGACATCTCCAAATGACTGGAGCCCATGATCTTTCAGTATAGTCCAGTCCAAAAAATGACATGTTAGGATGTAACAGCCCTAATGATTATTTAGATTAAATTTATCCCTGCTGCTGTTTTTAGACATTAGAAACAAATATGTATGAAGCCTATTAAAAATCTTGTTTGGTTAGGAATTTAAAAAATCAGTCATATGTTGCAGTTGGTATTGAAACAGCATATCACGACTCAGTTTAATGTGGTTTTATAAATACGGATTTACCATATAAAGATGGCTACCTAATTATTACCTTTTCAAAAGCAGCTCTGGCCATCTTGTAGACTAATATCTTTGAAGAGGAATTGTTGCATCCAATGATGATTTGAAAACTACATATAGCATCAAACTTTGAAAGACTTCTTATACAGTGATAACTTCTTATACCTCTTTCCATTTTTCCATTCCCTGGGTCATGATAGGAAAATGACTACCTTAGACAAGAAAATTTAAAATCAAGCATTTTCACAGCTTTTAAATATTCTTTCCTTCTCAAAAATGTTTATTTCACAAAATAGACAAAAAAATTCATAATCAACATACTTTGTAACTATTCCTGTCTTTGTAACTGTTCCTATAATTGCTTAGAGTTCATCATACAACTTCAGAGAGCACTTGCTAGAGTGCCTGTACTTTTTTTTCCTTGGGTGGTAAACAGAGAAGCAAATGAAGAAGGTGAAATCCAAAACTAACGCAAAAAATTCCTCTCATTTACTGTGATGTAAATACACCAGTGATATAAGCAATGTCATAGTTTTCTCCAGAGAGAATTAACTCCCTTCACACAGTCTGGGAAGTGATTTGGGATCTCTGAACAGAAAGCATTAAACACATTTTAGTCTGTAATGACACTGTGCCAGATGCAACAGAAAAAGGAAGATGTCATTGTGTCCCATAAGAATCAGAGGACAGGGAAATACTCATATTCCACAAAATATTTTTCTCCTCTTGCAAAAAATGTTGCTGAAAGATTAAGCTCCTGATATACCAACCCTTTCAATACAAACACAGCTTCAGGCAGGTAATTAGTATCGTTAACTTCAGTGGAACTCCTAGTTGCCTCAGGTAATCCGTGAGTTTATACGTGTTTTTAGAGCACAGTCCAAGAGATTTTGACATACTTCCTTCTACCTATGAAGGAAAATGGGATTAGTTAATGCACCCATGTTCTACTTAAAGTACCTCCATTACAACATTTAAATTAAACATGATCAGTCAGCTCCAATTTAAACATCAGTATCTGTAGAGTTTTAATTACAGCATAGCGTGGAAAACTCTTATACAAGTTTTGTTAAAGACGAAATTCTCACTGGCTTTGTCAAAAACTTATCTTGAGAGCAAACTAAGTGTAATGTACTCCTCTACTTGTGTAAATGTTCCAGATATCTAAAACAATAACTTTAATTAAATAAAGAAAACTGGCTCAGTATCGATCTCTCTTGCCATTAAAAAAATGGAGCCTCTCTTATATTAACAAATCTGCTCTGCTTTTTCCAGAAGGGTATTTCTGCATTTGCATCTAATACTAAAATAGCATCAGTTCCAAAGATGAAACTCAGTCAGCTATAGAAAGACCTAAAGAAAATAGGTGACTCATACTGTTATCTGCTGTATGTTTACAAAAACTTACTATATGCATCTCACTTTCATCTGGGAAGCGATTATTAATGCATCATAGTATGCTGTATAGCAGCAGTGATGCAGTCCACTATCGACAAGTTA